CCCCCACAAAAACTATCCCTCGCTTCCACGTGTTATTATTTCTTCAGATGTCCCTTTATATTTACTGCCTGTTATTTTCACCCAGCTTGACGTTGGTTCACCGAATGCTGACAACACAACAGAACCAGTGCCATCCCAAAATTGTAATAAGAGTGTATAAAACAGACAAACAGCCTACAAAAATAAGCAAAAACTAACTTTTGCAAGACAAGCAAAATAAAAACCATCACCTGCTCATAGCAGAAGGTTTCAAACAAACTAAATCATGAGACAATACAATACTATAATATAAAGGAGAACATGATTTGTTGGGTAGGGGGAAAATGCAAGAAACAGAAAAAAGAACCACCCCCCAAAAAAAAACAACAACAAAAAACAACAACCTCACAACCACAAACAAACAAACAACAACAACAACAAGAACAACAACAACAAAAGAAAAGCTAGTCACAGACACTGTACACAAACGTTGGACTCACTCTCTCCACTTGTAGCCATCGATAAACGCCTGGAGGTATGACGTCAGTATTTTCGCCTCTCGTCTGTTTTCCTTGCTCAGTTGACCAGTGTCCAGGTTCTTAATCTGGTCCAGGAAATGCTCAGTCATATTCTGAAGACATCATGGGACAAATGAATAATTCGAAGAGTTTTACACGGTAGAAGCCTACTTTAGATACCCCGTCCCCCATCCCTGGGAAAAAAAAAACATAGTTGTTTTTTTTAGCGTATAACGACACTGTAATCCCTATGTTGGTCACAGAACAGAAGGGGGGCTCTCGTGGCCGAGAGGTTAAGTTGTTGGCCTCTCATTCAAAGGTCCCGGGTTCGAATCCGGGTAGCGACCGAAAAATTTTCTTCTCTAAAATTGTCTCCTTTCATCTCCTTTCCTGCTCTCTAGCAATGTTCTGTTGTCTACTTTCATTTCGAATTTCTGCCCCCACCCCCTCACCTCCTTTGCCCTCTCCGCTGTGCTCCTGACTCTTTCTGCAGCCTTTCTACTGCTACTCCTTGGCTCCTTCTTACAGCTGTCTTTCAACCACACCCCTCATCGGGGGGTAAAAAACCCAAAGCGTGGCTTGATTACAGGCATGTGGGCCTGTGAACAACAATATCAATTCCAGATAACCATCACAGATTTGTAAACAGTGCGTCCGTAGTCTAGTGGTCAGGGTACCGGATTTGTTATCGTGCGGTTGCGAGTTCGGGGGTTCAAGCCCCAGACTCAATGTTGTGAAGTTGGGAATGTTCCTCACTTCACGTAAGTGGGAATGAGTACCCAGCCATAGACAGAGAAAGATCTTGTCAATTTGTTAGTGTTTTAGTGTTTGTAAGATGACAGCTTGCACTGTATGTTTCCCAGGAAGCTGAGATTGTTTTAGAATGCTAACTATTTATTTATTCAAACAGAAATGTATATAAAACCTTTGTATAAATGTTTCTTAAATCAACAGGTAATTAGCCTATCCCGGAACGTCTACAAGTAAATCAAAACGTAAATGAGTTTTAAAATAAGTCAAAAAATATAGTTGGCTCTTTTCTTTCCCTCAAAACTATCCGCTGATAGGGGAAGATAACCCACGTTTATTTGTCCGCATCGCCTCGATTTATGGGGAAAAAATCAACATACATAGGGCCTAAGTTGGAACTAAAATAATCCTAAACGAAACACAACATTACAAAATACAGCAACAACGACTACTATAGCAAGAATGACAGCAAGAGAAATAGCAACATTACAGCAAAACTAGGATCTAAAAAAGACCTGTGGTAATTGTGATCTATGCCATCAGAGCATCTTAACGTGATTTAAGAAAACATTCCCTGGTTTATTACTTTTTAACTGCGTTTGTTTTGTTTGTATGTTTGTTTGCTTGTTTGTTTGAATCTTAAACGTGTGTGAGAAAATCTTCTTCTAACGTTATTGTTATGCTTCGTTTGTACATAATCAACCATACAATAAATTAATCAAAATATGATTTTGCTGTGCGCCCACACAATCATAAAGGTTTCCAATAATATTTTCGAAATTTATTTCTTCTTTCTTTTCCCGGGACATGTGTGAGCATCTCTTCTTCTAAATTTGGTGTAACGCTTTTTCCTTACAAATCAATGACAAACATGTTTGAGAACACCCCCCCCAAAA